GGCTCGTTGGATTCGTCTCGTCGAGACGCTCGATTTGATTATAAGCATGCCATATTGGGATATCATTTTATTATCCAAATAATGCTTTAACCCTTCCAAATGTGGTCCGGGCCCCCGATTTGGACCCATTTGGGCTTGGGTTGGACCAATTTCGGTGTTGTTCGGTTCGTCCCTTTGAGATATTCAATTTGATTGTAAGTTTGCTGAAAATTTCCAATTTGAATATGCCTCGAGATTCGTGCTCGATCAAGGCAATTTCTTAGGACGTATCAATATTTAATACTTTAATTTCTATATTTATTAATATAGCACCTAAAACTCTACTTTTAATCAATTCTAACATTTTGTTTAAAACCTCTGTAAAAAATCACTAGCACTGGCAGTCTTCCCCGTCAGTGGCATCCTTTTATTTGGGTAGTATAGAATAAAATAAATTGAAATGGAGTGGTAGAATAGAAGGAAATGTGGTATATTAGCTCTAAATATAGAAGTTTATGTATTAAATGTGTATTTTCAAAAATTTAAGGTGTTATATATGTAAAAATCTTTATAATAATTATTTGTTTAAAATCTTAAATGCTAACATATTTTTCATGTATTTTATATTAATATTTTTTAAATGAGTCAGCTTGACAGTTAATAAGTCGAGTAAGGAATGGCTCAAACTTAACTCATTAGCTCATCGAGTTCAACTCATGAGTCATTTATCAAGTACGTCTACCTCTATTTGTTAAGCACGTCTTTTCTTTAATCATATTGTTTTTATCTTCTTATTTCTCTAATCGAGCCTAATGCATCAGCTAAAGAATCATCGATCAAATTATTGGATTAACAAGATTAAAATAGAATTTAATTATTTTTAGTAAATTTTGTAAATTTAAATTTACTAAATTTTGAAGATATTAAATTCCCAAAATTAATTGTTATAATAGATCAGATTAAATTTTGATGAACTACTAGATATCTATTTCATAAACTAAAATATGTAAATTCAAATAAGATTTTAATCATAATTATTGATAATTAAATTAATATATATTACATATTTATAAAGAAAATAATCAAATCAAATTAATGTAATTATACATATTATGTATTAATATCCTAATTAATTATTAATGAGTAAATTATTAAACTAATAAATTCTAATTCAAAATTTTTTATTAATTCTAATTAGATTAATTAAATCATATTCATTATATATTAATATCCAAATTAATTATTAATCAGTAATTTATTAAATTAATAGAATAGAAAAAACATATGCACATTATATATTATTATATGATAAAAATAGAAAAAATAACTCTAAACTGGTCCATATATATATATATATATATGAAAAAATGGCAAGAAAACATACGCACATCATCTATTATTGATAGTTTTTTCAGAACATTTGTCCATCTTTCATCTATTGTTTGTTCTCCTACAGGCAAATTATGTCTGATATCTACAAACCAACTATGTAGGCTCCTTATAGTATCTCCCCATTACTATATTGGACATCGTGTTTTCTACAAATCAACTATGTCAACACATGCACAACCCTACAAATCAAAAATGTCAATCTCTTAACGCGACTTCTACGATACATTCAAGGTACACTTCATTATGCATGGTTTTCACATCATCTCCAGCAATCTTCAACTTCAAACATACGCTAATGCGAACTGGGTAGTTAACCTCTCTAACAAGAAATCTACTTCTGGATTTTCATCTTTCTAGGCAATATATTAATCTCCTGGAGTGTGAAAAAGCAACTCACATTTGTGAAATCATCCATCGAAGCAGAATATCGAGCTCTAGCATCTACTACCTCAAACATTATCCGACTCCGACGTCTATTAGCAAAATTTGAAGCTTCACAAACAACAACAACAAATCTCTATTGCATGTTAACCTCTACAGGATAAAAAAAATGAAATGCAAATAAAAATCAAATTAATTCGATGTCTGACAATGTGCTTCGCACGAACTCCCCATGCCTACGCCGTGTGACCCGTGATCTTCGCAATTTATGGCTTCGTCATTACAACGAGAATGAAACGAAGCCTTTGTTCTTCTACATTCATGCTCGAGTTCCCTCTCACAACCTTAGACCTTATTCCTCAAGAATTTTTTAATATTCTTGAGGAAGATAGTAGTTCTTCCTTTTTCTGTAGGAGGCCGGTTGGCTAGTATATTTACTTATGGTCTTGTATTAGTTTTTATTAGATGAATGCAAAAGCAGAAGTTCAGCACAACTGTTAAGCACACGGTTATGTTAGGTGTTTTATAGGTGTGTTAAAGAACTACCACGTCACCGTACATGGCCATGTCACTGTACTTTCTTGTTTTATGTCTTTATATATAGCCATTAGCTCTTTGTAACAGACATCAAGAATAATGCAATAGATCATCTTCTTCAGTTCTTTCTCTCTATTTCGTTTCTTTCTTCCGTTAAACTTTCAAATCTTCACATGGTATCAGAGCATTGAAGCTCTACAGCGTTTTTTTTCTTCTTCGTATTCATGGGCGACGAGGCTTCCGTCGATTCCCACCGGCAACCATCCACGATCTCAACTCAGGATTCCGACGTCATTATCCCGGTTCATCTCAAATTTCTCATCTCTAATATCAAAAACCTTGTACCCACAATTCTTACCTCTGAAAACTATTCGATATGGCGGCTTCAACTTCATCAACATTTCACCGCCAATGGTTTTGAAGGTCATCGGAAAGAATTATGTATTTCAAACATTTGCATGCAGAGCTTTCTTGGGAGGATGGATTGAAGACTATGGCCACAGTGTCATCCACGGGCCACGGTGTCATCCACGGGCAGAGCCATGAATTTATTCATGTGGGGGCAAAAATTTTTAAATTAATTTAAAAATCCTCAACCATTTTCATCTGGATTTGGGACCAGCTTAGGTGGTTTTAAAAAAAAATTCTAATTATTAGATTCATTATAAAAAGATAAAATATATAATAAAACAGAAAACTTACATATCATCTATAATTTCTCCCGCCGAGTCTTCATTTTTTTGAAATCGTTGTACAATCAATTCATTGTCGATACTATTGAATATATCTTTTTCAATATAAGTAAGTAAACAATCATTCATCAAGTAGTCTCACATACGATTGCGTAAATGATTCTTTATAATGTTCATTGTAGAAAATGCCCGTTCGACTGTTGTTGTAGCAATTGGCAATATTAAAGCAAGCTTTATAAGTAAAAACATCAAAAGATAAATATCATTTTTACGAGTCTTCACTATTTTCTGATCAAGTTCTCCAAGTTCTTTTAAATTCATAAATATGTCGCTCTATCTCATATCAATAATCAAGTTTTCAATTTGATTGTCTAGAATGATGAGATTCATTTTTGAAAAATTTGACGGATAAAATTTGGTTAGGCGTAGCCATCATTCTTTATCAAAAGCTGAAAATGACTGAGATGGATTCAAACATGCGACACACATTAGTAATTATGTATTAATTTCATCAAACATGTTATTGAGCTATTGAAGTTGCATATCTATAACAGTATAAAATAATTTGATTTGATAATGATGTTTATTATTATACTTTCAGTACGACGTCTTGATATTCCTCGCATCACAAATGAATTAGTCATTTTTGGAATGTTTATGCTATTCTTCTTACAAAATAATTCAATTGTTTTAACAAAGTGTCTCACTCATCATTTCTCATATTTTGAAGCCTTTACTTAGAAATTATTACCAAAGTCATGACATTTATAATGCCATGATCCTTTCTTTGCAGTACTTGTGATAACTCATTTGTAACTCCAAATATATTCTTCATCATGTGTAAATTGAAAATAAATTCAAAACTTTGCACATATTCAAGTAGGGAATATGCTTCACCTTTTTTATCACTACTAGATCTCTCGTGTGCCACTATATCAAGAACATCTATAATAGACCCAAATAGAAGAATTAAACTGATGAGTGAATTGTAGTGGGTATCCCAACGAGTGTCTCCTAGATTTTGAAGTGCAATTTGTTGATTTAAATCTCAACCTTTTGTAATATCTCTACTTTTCAACTGTTCAACAATTTTGTCATAATATTTTTCTCTTAATATATCTTTTCTTTTGCATTAAGTATCAATTTTATTTAACAAATTGGTCACAATGTTAAAGAAGGAAGCAACTTGGATATGATTTTTTACGACTGCAATTAATACTTGTTGGAGTTGGTGTGCAAAAGAATGAATATAATAAGTTGAATAGTTCTATATCATGATCAAAGTCTTTAATCCATTAAACTCACCCCACATATTACTTTCTCCATCATACCCTTATCCTCGTAGTTGTGCCACACTCGAACCATACTTTGCAAATAAAGCTTCAATGGCCAATTTTAGTGTTGGAGCTATTGTATCTCCTACATGAACAATTCCAACAAAACGCTCAATGATGCATCCTCGCAAATCAACATAACGTAAAGCAATAACAACTTGTTCTTTGACAGATATATCCCGAGATTCATCTAGTAAAATTTAGAATACATTATTTTTTAATTCATTGATTATGATATTTGAAACCTTAATTGCAGCAGCTTCTGTAATTTCTTTCTGGATTTCAAGAGCAATTAGTTTATTATTTCCAGGGGCATTATCCAAAATAACTTTATTTATATCTTCATTGTGATTAGAAAGAAAGCACAGAAGTTCAAGAAAACTTTCTTGATTCTCAGAATCTTCTGATTCATCATGCCCATGGAATGCTAACCCCTGCTGTAAAAGAAAACGTACACAATCAACACTTTGCATTTAATCGTGTACATTGTGTACGATAATCTTTGCGATTTTGTTATGTAGGTCTTTCAAAAGCAAATCTTATATCATTGATTTCATTTATTAAATCTTCATATTTTCACCTAATAAAGTTATGTCAACTGTTCTTATTACTAACATGAATCTGTAATCTTTCTTCTTTTTTTTTTTCCAATTTTTAAAACCCTTTGTATCGAAACTATCACCATTAGACTATTCTCCAATTTTGGGTCCATACAGATAACAAAACAAACAAAATGTTGCATCCTTAGTTATACTGTAATCTAACCAAGCTTTCTGATCATCAAATAATCATGCATGATTAAATCTGTGAAATCTATCGTCAAATTGTGTACGTAGAACATCATGATCACGCGGTTGACATAGTCTTTTCAACAGGTAATGTCTCCTAACACAATCCCTCTCATTAGGATGATAATCCAATATTTTTTTTCTTAATCCAGGATTGGCAAGGATATCCGCAAAATTTATTTCTACATGGCATTGTTTAATTTATGTATTGGTTTCTTCACATAATGTTTTGTGATCATCTCCTTCAATTTTTTTTTCTTTTTTTCTTTTTTTTGAAATATCTCTCCATGCTGAATTAAACGAAAATAATATGGGAAATTTACATACATACCACTTTATAACATCCTATTTACATATCTAACACCCAAAATTTTAATATTATATGCATACCACCATATATTATTTTAATATCAAATATACCACTCATATTTCTTTCCTAACACTCATATATTTCATTTCTACCACTCATATTTGATATGAAAATGAACTATTTGTGGTATATATGTAATATTAAAGTTTTAAGTGTTAAATATGTAAATATAGTAGTATATGATGGTATGTATGTAAATCTCCCAAGTAATATTAAAGAGATGTAGCACTAAAGAAATATTCTACTATTTAATTTGAAATTTTAGAAACATTTAATACATATAGATGTGTAAAATCTGCACAACATATATATAGAGTAAAATATGCTCTAATTGAGCACTACTTGCATTGCATAGAGTAAAATCTGCATTACATGATTACATCAAAAACATAATAAAATGATATCTTTAACGAATTTCATCATTTATATTACGAGCATTCATAGAAATTTAGCCATCTATTGATTTAAGCTTTTTTTTTTTTTTCTTAAAACCGAGCATTCATAGAAAAAGATGCTAATAATTAAATTATCGTAGGTAAGCTTTCAAATGATACTTTTAATTGTCCCTAAATAATTAGTCAGTTTATCTTTTAAAAATTAAAAATAATCATAAACGATGCAAATTATTTGGAAGAAGGTTTAATTCTATATAAATCATTTAAATTTTTGCTATTTATAACTTTAATATCTTTATATTTTTATCTGTAAAAAATAAATCATAAAATATGTGACTTCAACTCATGATCTAAAAGAAATAATTTTTTGCTTTAAACAGATTTTGTGATTTGTGCTTTCATCCGAAACAATTATTTTACCGGTGCTTAAAGGTCTAAATTTCTATAAAGCTATCTCAGGCTTCAAAAAATATTTTTCCAATCGAAACTCAAAAGTAAAGATAAATAACTTGAAGACTAGGCTAATATTTAGGTAATAAGATTCAGGATTCTTACGGTATAACAAGCACTTGGCGAATGAAGAGGGAAATTGGACTGTGCGTGACCGGCGACTGGCGACCGACGACTGGGCGGCAGGGGTGGAGCCACGTTCGGCCGTTCGAGCAGGAAGAGAGCAACTAGCATTCGGTCGGGCTTCATTCTAGTGACTGAATAGTGAATAATCTCTTCTGCTTCCGCCTATTAGCGTGTGAGATGAGAGGATAGCGCCATAGCGGGACGAGATACAGAGGCAACGAGAAAGTTTTGGTGAAATAACGGGATATTTAATGCATTATGGATGAAAAAAGCAAATAATTATTTGTTTTATTCTGTAATTAATGAATAAATAAATGATATTAATAATATAATAAATTACCAAATTAACTAAAGTGGCTAACTTAGTGGGGCTGTGGGGGCACGTGCCCCCACACTACATCCGCCTCTGGTGTCATTCGACACTAACCGTGCACATCTTTTTTGACGTGACGGGAAGTCTAACACTCCCCAAATTTCTCTAAATGGGAGAGACGTCGGGATGCTGCCAAAAGCCCCAGCCATCCGGCCCATCCGATCCTGTACACCTCACAAACTCAACCTCAAATGGCCGAACCCGCCTCCCTGAACTGAATCACTCACCCCCGTCTCCATGCACAAACTCCTTACGCGAATTACAAGCACCCGTCTCCGTCACCTATATTTGTGCAAAATAGGAGCCCACGCTCCGTCGCCCCTTCATGCGTACACAAGCCCCCTTCGAGTCCCACTAACCCTCTCACACAAATTGCAGCTCCCAAACTAGTTGAGCCCGAACCCTCTCAATCATGCTTCCTGTTATATGCAAGAATGACCCCAGCCATAATTCCACTTCCAATCCTACTTTCCTCTTTTTATATATATATATATATATGTGAAGAAGAAAAAGAGATAAAAAGGAGGAAGAAAAAGAATAGGAACTTTTGCTCTTTCATAACCACCGTCGCCCCTCGCGCAAAAGGTATAACTCTCCTAAACTCAAAAAATAGCTCAAATCCTATTTTCGACACTTGTGGCGCAACGAGTGAACCCATAATGCGCGCTTTTCTTAGCATTGTGGAAGGAAGCTAAGTGTGACGCTTGCGGCAAGGCTAGTAAACCTCGTGTGCGCTTCTCTTAGCATGGAGAGATAAATTTTAAGTACTCGTGCACGCTTTCAGGCCAACAGGAAAATTTGCAAATTTTTCATGCAGATACCCTTGTAACCTATATACGTGTTTCTGGATGCGGTGTCGCTTGACACCAACCATACACATCTTTCTTAACGTGGTGGCAGATGTATACTCCCCAATTTTTTTCAAAATAGGAGAGACATCGAGAGGCTCCTGGAATTCAAACTAAAAGGAAACTGGATTTAAACAAAATCACATGGGACATTTTAAATAAAAATGCAACCAAGTAAAATCTAAAGGGGCTCATTGTGAACAAGAATGAGAACTCTAAAACTTTATGCCCATTGCCTTGAACAAGTAACATTGGACAAAGAATAATGAATATACAATAGGCATATCAGCTTGCTTATGGCTAATAAAAAGACTATGATATTTGCAATAAGCATGATAGTTCACTTGGGGGAAGGGAGGAGACTTATAATGAACAATCTCATTTATAAGAAACAAAAGGGAATTGAACTTGAGTTAAAAATATAAAATAAAAAAATGCAATCAAATAACAATGACAAGCATAATAATAAAGCTTGGCGTGGATAATAGCCCACTAGCAAATGACTACAAGTGACTTGTGATGAATAGTATAAAAAATTTGTAATGAATGCAACATATCTACAAGCAAAGTATGAAAGTTGTAAAGATGATAGCCTGCTTGCTATCAATGCCAGTTAACTTGCAAAGGATGCTTATACTGCCCACACACATGAAAAAGGAGCATCCAACGAATGTGACGGATCTCCTACAAGTATAAATAAGGGAATAGCAATAAACATAGCACACTATCCACGAGTAAAAGCAACACATTTGTAATGAATGCAAGCGCCTATGAGCAACACTAGAGGATTTGTGATGCACATGACACTTTGCCAATGAGTCAAGGTGGTGTAGCCGATGACTTGCACCGAAAACTACACAGCAATGGAACAGTAACAATGCTCTGTAAATGAGGGTTTTGATATATTCTAGATAACTTTTCTCTACTCTTCCAAAGGAGAAGATATAGCCTAAACAAGGATTACTAACTAAGGTAATACTTAAAATAATACTAAAAGCATGAAATTATAAAAGTAGTAATGCAAACGGTTAGGGGCAGAGAACGTGGCACATGAGTGGAGAGGGAATATTCTCTGCTATCCGTTATCAGGTATTAGCCGCATCAGGTCCCTCCTTCCTCAGAAGGATTCATCTCCGATGAAGTTGTCACTATCCTCGCTTCGTCCGGTGGATGACACGGATACATGTCGGCCACATTGAAGGTGGAAGAAGTGGTAATATGAGCAGGTAGATCAATGACATAAGCATTGTCATTGATCTTTCGCACGACGGGAAAAGGCCCGAACTTCTTTGGATTGAGCTTTGGACAAGGCCCTGCAGGAAAACGTTCTTTGCGATACCGCAGCATAACCAAATCTCCTGGTTGGAATTCCACATACCTCCGGTGTTGATCCCGGTCTGCTTTGTATTTGTTGTTGCTGTCCATCAATTTAGCCTTCACCTCTTCGAGCATGTTGGAAAATTGTTCCGCCGTTTGGGCAGCAGCTACACTTTTACCTTTGGGAATAATAGCGAGGTCCACAATATGATTGGGCATCTTTGTGTAAACGATACTAAAGGGGCATTGACCCGTGGATCGATTGGGCATCGAGTTGTACGCAAACTACGCCTGTCCAAGGACTTCTTCCCAAGTCTTAGGACGGTTCTGAACTAAACATCGCAGCATGTTGGCGAGCGTCCGATTGACGACTTCCGTCTGCCCATCCGTTTGAGGGTGATACGCTGAACTTAGCTTCAAGTCAGTTTGGAGAGATTTCCATAATTCGCGCCAGAAATGACTGACGAATTTGACATCCCTGTCGGAGGTCAAGCTGCGAGGTAATCCATGTAGACGCACAATCTCCTTAAAGAATAACTTTGCGACATGTAAAGCGTCGAAAGTCTTTTTGCACGGGATAAAATGGGACATCTTCGAGAACCGATCAACCACCACCATGATAGAATCAGACCCCCTCTTGGTTCTTGGCAAACCCAGTACAAAATCGAGGCTTAGATCCTCCCAAATGGAATCCGGTACCGGGAGTGGGGTGTATGACCCGGAATTCTGAGCATTTCCCTTATATTGCTGACAAACGGCGCAGCGTTCAATATATCTGGATACATCTCTCCTCATATGGGGCCAGAAAAATCGGCACTGTAATTGCTGGAGAGTCCGATCTCTTCCAGCGTGTGCTGCTAGTCGTCCGCAATGCAGTTCCTTAATGAGCTGTTGTCGCCATGAAGAAGACGGAATGCATAAGCAATTTCCTTTAAACAGGAAACCCTGCCGCATGGAATAGTATGCTGAAGGTTGGCCAAAACAGCACCCTTCCCAAGCAGTGGCGAAATCTGGATCCAGTTGATACATGCTCTGCATTTCCTGTAAGCCCGTAATTTCCGTCTGAAGTTGGGTAAGCAATGCAGCACGACGACTAAGAGCGTCAGCCACCCGATTCAGTTTACCGGTCTTGTAGCGGACAACAAAACTGAATTTCTGGAGGAATATAACCCATCGGGCGTGCATCTTATTGACGGTTTTTTGGCTGTTGAGGTACTACAGTGATTGATGATCGCTGCACAATACGAAATCCTGATGCAAAAGGTAATGCTCCCATTGTTTAAGCGCCCGGACAACCGCATACAATTCCTGCTCATACACCGTCCACTTTTGACGTGCCGGGCTGAGCTTCTCACTAAAGTATTCAATAGGACGGTCTTCTTGGTATAAAACAGCCCCAATGCCCACTCCAGAGGCATCGATATCTACCTGGAAGGCTTTATCGAAATTAGGCAGAACTAGGACTGGAGCATTGCTGAGAGCCAATTTGATATGTTCAAAGCTTTCTTGTTGCGGAGAATCCCACGAGAATGTTGGTCCTTTCAAAACGTTGGTTATTGGCGCCATAATAACGCTGAATCCCTTAATGAATCGGCGATAGAAATTCGCCAATCCATGAAAGCTTCGAATTTCGGTCATGGATCGTGGCCTAGGCCAATCTAGTACAGCTGCAACTTTACGAGGGTCCGCTTGAATGCCTTCATGCGACACAATAAATCCTAGGAAGTATACCGACGGCGTGGCGAATTTGCACTTTGATAAATTCAGATAAAGTTTATGTTCGCGCAGAGCTTGGAATAACAATTAAAGATGATGCAAATGGTCCTCCAAGGAAGAGCTATACACAAGTATATCATCAAAGTATGCTACACAAAATTTACCCGCAAACGGTTTGAGAACTTCGGTCATTACCCTCATGAAGGTAGATGGAGCATTGCACAGCCCAAAAGGCATGACTCTCCATTCATAAAGCCCCTCGCGTGTTTTAAATGCCGTCTTCCATTCGTCTCCTGGTCGAATTCAGATCTGATGATATCCGCTTCGGAGGTCTAACTTCGAAAATATGACTGCACCATTCAATTTATCCAGTAAATCCGAAATTCTGGGGATGGGAAATCGATACTTGGTAGTAATCTTGTTGATGGCTCTACTGTCTATACACATTCGCCATTGCCCATCTTTTTTTTTGGAACGATTAGAGCCGGTACTGCACAAGGACTTAAGCTGTGTTGAATGAGTTGCCGTTGTAATAGATCATCCACAATTCCCTGTAAGATACTGTGTTCCTTCGGGCTCATACGGTAATACCGTAGGTTCGGGAGTGCTGATCCGGGAACGAGGTCGATTTGGTGTTGAATAGTACGTAGGGGCGGCAATTGCGGGGGTAATTCAGCAGGCCCTATGTCTTTAAACTCAGCCAGCAATTGGCGAATAGAGTCAGGAATCTTCTTAGTGTTTTGAGGTTTGCAGCTCTCGGCAGCAATCAGAGCTAACACAGGAACATCTTCAGGGACTGATTGGAGCAGAACATGCCCGGACACCAGATAAGCGGCAGCCTTTCCCTTTTCATCCTTTCCCACAGTATCGTGAGAGTGTGGTAGTAAACGCAAGCTTTTACCCTTCCACTCCAGTGAGTATATATTAGCTCTACAGTCATGAATGGCACTGGCATCAAACTGCCAAGGTCGGCCGAGAATAATGTGACAAACATCCATATCGAGGACGTCACAAATGACTTCACACATATAATGCTTCCCGATAGAAAAAGAAATCTTGCAGCAATCAGCAACGGTCATGTCCAGACCTCGTTTTACCCACCCAATCTTATATGGCTGCTGCTTCTTTGTGGTCTTGAGCTGTAGTGCCTGCACAACTGATCGGGCGACCACATTTTCAGTACACCCGCTGTCGATAATTAGATCGCACACTTTACCACTGATGGTGCTTCTAGTTTGAAAGATAGCATTCCTTTGGGACGGTACAGTAGCTCTAGGAGCCAACATCAATTTCTCAAGGATGCATATTAACGGGTCGCCTTCGTCTCCGTGGACGTCTTCAGCAAAGACCTCCGCATTGGGCTCTTCTCCATAATTCTGCTCTTCTTCTGGGCACTCTCCCTCTAGCAATTGGACTTGCGGCCGATTTGGGCATTCGTTCGATTTATGCCCAGGCTGGAAACACTTGAAGCATTTCAATGTGGTTGGTCTACCATATGGATTTTCTTTTATCGGAGCCTTAATTAGCCTTGAACTGAATTTTGGATTCTGCTCCACCCGTGCCTGGAGAATTGGTAGTCAAAGTTTGCACCTTGGCCGAAGGTGCTGCAGGTCTCGGGCCTTCCACCGAGGCCTCTTGTGTAGAATGGCGGCGAACAGAATAGCTGCGAGAGTGCCGCTGCATTTGTGATTCCACTTTTAAAGCGAAATTCACAGCTTGGGATAAAGACCAAATCGAGTTCAACTCCAATTTGTCTTGGACAGCCTCTCGTAGCCCTCCAATGTACCTTGCTACGAGTTGGTTTTCGGTCTCCCGACTGCGTATACGTTGAGAGGACGGGCATACTAGAAGGACCGGCCTTGGGAAAGCATAAATATTAATATGTAAATTTAACCATCAAGCAAAGGGAATTTGACCATCCACCTTTTTTTTTATTTTTTTATGTTAACGCCACCCTCCTATATGTATATTTAGATATATTTTAAAATGTGTTATCCTCTACAATTAATATATTTTTATTAAAATCTCATTAAAAAAATTACATAAGTTTTAGTTAAAATCTTTATTTTTTATTTGAAACTTTATTTCAAAGTATATCAAGTAAATTTTAGCTGAAATGGTATTAAAATGATTGAATTTAAAACTCACTTAAATTAGTTGAAATGAAAATATTTTAAAAAATCTCGAGTAAATTTTAGCCCTTGACCCAAACGGCCTGCTTCATTTTCCCCTTTGCTTATCTCTCACGACTTGCGACTCACGACTTTGAGTACGACTTTCATTTATCTTTCGCTCCTCTCTCACTCCCAAACGGAGACCGCCCGTGACAGATATTTATGTCTTCTATAAGCTCTAAGAGTCATGTTATTTGCCTTTTTAATTTTGATCTTACATCTCCTCTGACTCTAGTAATAAGACGACAAATAGAACTATTTTTAATTTAGGCCCCCCTGAATAAAATTTCTGGCTCCGCCACTGCTTGTGATGCACATAACAATCTCACCTACCAGTAATATTGGGGGATGTTACACTGAACACAATTCACTTACATACAACAGCTGGTGACTTCTGAATGTCTACTACTTGTCCACAAGCAATGATAATGGAGTTTGCACGCACGACAATACATCTGCACGAAATAACAAGTGGCCCGTAGCACAACACTGTGTAATTTAAAAAAAGAAAATTACTATTAAATACATCTACATAGATGTGTACTTCAGTATTTTTTTTGAGTTGTAGACACCTTTAAAACAATCAAATTGCTATAAAGCACCTATTCAGATGTGTGCGTATGTCAAATATAATTGTAAGTGACTGCACACAGTCATGTGCAAATATAAAATAGAAAACAAATCTTTACAAGACATTCACATAGGCTTTACATAACCCAAATAAAATAACTCCATAAAGTTGTCCATACCTATAATGATATAATTAAAACAGAAAAGAATTGCAAGAAAACATATGCAAGTCATCTATTCTTATTACTTGTTTCAGAACATTTGTCCATCTTTCATCTATTGTTTGTTCTCCTACTGGCATAATTACGCCTTTTATCTACAACTAATAATTTAACAAACAAGAGGATTGGGCTTCATAGTGTTATTAGATGAGACATTTATCATTCATGTTAGGAATCATTGGAGACAAAAAAATAATTCATCGCCTCCGAAAGATATATCAAATCATCAAGAAGAATTATCTGAAATGTACCTGAATCTATTGAAATTCAGAATCAAGGTTTTCGATCTTCCACGTTTGAAGCAACGTTCTCTAAAAGAGCAAGAGACCCCTTATTTTCACTCGAGATGGAAAATGAGGGAAATGAGAACTTCACCACTTATATTAGGTACCACAACCCTTTTATAGTTTAAGTGTTCATATTTTTTTTCAGCTTATCATTAAAATAAAATAAATATTCAGCCTCTACACAAATTAATTAACTTCATACAAATTTAATTGAGATGCAACATAAGTCAACTAATAATTTAATTATTAAATAGATCACATATTTATTTGACTCAATTTTAGATAGCTTATAATATATAAAACTTTATTTATATGTATAAGTATATGATCCCACATATAAAAATTTACCAACAATTCAATCTACATTGAGAAACAGATTAATTATATGCGAGTTTAAGTGCTCAACGGTCAAAAGCATATAAATAAATAAAACAACTTATATAGTTTAATTTAACACTTAAACCAACTATCAAATGTCAAGATGAATTCATTGTATTAACCAAAACACCAAATCAGATTGTGGCTGGCAGACTTGTCTTCTGCTACAAGAATATAGATGCATTAATCAACCTAAAACTGATGGATTCGCGACATGGCCAAAGAACAAAATAGCACCTGTTACATCTTCTCGAAGAACAAACATGAAAGGATGATCAGCAACAAAGCTCACCGGCTTAATGTTACACACAAACCTCATCGTTACCGCTGTTGCAGCTTCTGCTACCGTACCCTCTTCATCCACCTCAATAGCAGCTTTATGGCGAATACTTGATACATAAAGCCTTGCTGATTCCAAGCACATTCCACTCAAATCTGCAGCTGGCCAACTAAAAAGGCTTTTCAGGCCAAGATTTGATAGTACATCAGTAGTTTCACAGCTGAAAGAGATCTTAAACTTCGGAACCATGAAGGGTTGAACTTTAACTCTTCTGCAAGGAACGTGTCTGTTGATGAAATTTGGATCATAAACGGCTCTGTTGATAAGATCTTCAAGTCCGTTTATCTCGTCTGGAAGAAAAAGCAGCAGGGAAAAGCTTCTGTTTCCTTGGTTGTTCTCTTGTTGCTTATATGGCAGTTTGAGGACTTTGAATCCATGATAAGATGAGATGAATTGATCTTTTCTGCTGCTCATGAAGGGTACTTGTATGGTGCTACCATCTAAGAGATAAAAATAGTTACTTCGGGTCATGTAGGGATCAAATTTCTCTTGCCACTTTCCTTTGAAGTGGAGGGCATTAGCGAGGATTAACCTGGTTTCGTTGTCAACTGTGCCATCAGGAATAAGATTTTTTATGATCCCATTGGTCTTTTGTTCAATCCAATCGTTTATTTTCTTTTGTTCGAGCGGAGCCTTGTACATCATGAAAACAGAAATCAATTGAATGATCCACTTTAAAACATGGGATTTACTGAACTTTATGAGGAAAAAAAAAGAAAGGAATAACACTGCAAATACATGAACATTTTTAAGGTAAAGGAGTAATTTAAAGAAGCTCAAGTCATCCGAACAATGCAAATAGATGAAACATTTGACGGCTTTAGCATTATTTTCATAACAATGCTGAAATATTTTGGCCGAAATACTGAAAAATAAAAATTTCTTTATGTTTTTACATGCGACGCCATTCAAATTTAATTTGAGTCAAAATTCCTCAACACTACAACAGCACTCTTAAATTGAACACACAGCTGCTCAATTAGAATAGTTATTGTATCATATTTAAATCAATCAAAATAATATATGGAGTTATAACTTTTATATGACATTTCACTTATAAATATTTTTTAATTAAAAATTATATTTTACGTTTAAATTAAAGCCTTTCAAGCAATATCAAACATCTTGAACTTTTAGGTTTGTATAAGGTTTTGTTTGAGATAGCTTTCTTACTGTTTCTTAAAGCAGATTTCTAGTACAACAAATAAAATTTTTATACTGTAAAGTTGCTTTAAGAAGCAATAAGAAAGCCGTTCCAAACGAAGCCTAAAACTTCTTTTGGAGTATAGAAAAATTAGAGCCAAATGAGATATCCGTAGATGGCGTCGTAGCCTTACAATAAAACCCATGACAATAGAGAAGAAGACCACAACAAGAAAATAACAGAAACTGTGTTTACTGAATCATATTCTAGCTACTTCCTCTCTTCTTCTTCCAGCATAGATTTATATCTTTTTCGTTGTTACAATATTAAGCTACTACATTATAAAATTTCCATAATACTAAAACAGCTAAAAAGAAGATAAACGTTGCAGATGAGAAAGTGGATGGAATGGCATCTGCTCTCCTTATATATGCACCGCATTAGTAGTTATGCGGTAGAAGCAACAAGAGGCAAATTTCTGATTTAGGCTTAGTTTGGGACGTCTTTTTTACTATTTCTTAAAATGAAATTTTAGTACAAAATTTTTTCATTTTTTACTAAAACTCCATTTTAAGAAACAATAAAAAAACTGTCCCAAACGAAGCCTTAACTTCAAGAATTCATTTGGAAGTTGCTTAAAGTTTAAAACTAATAAATGTATTATATCCATCATTGATTTATATGATAAACAGTGCCCGGTAATTTTAAACCTTAACAAATCTATACAAAACCCAAGCCTTGATTTCATTTGAACAACTTTAAATGTACTAACAATCTAAAATCAATCATTGAGCATAATTTTCATAACTATAAAAAAGCACTGGGATATCCTAAAGGATTTTATATCGAGATTAGTGCATTTTATAGATACTAAATATGGCATTAATCTCAGCGCAAATCTAAGAGCATCTAGGCTCATCCTAAATGGAAATTAATCAGGATATCCTCATATATTTTTTCCCTCTAACCTTACATGACTCGATATTGTAAGGAAATGTTTCAAAATTAAATGAATAAATTGCCTCCTAATAGGCCTTGATTATACAATCAGTATTTAATTGTCTGCCATTTTCATAAGAATATGCCAAATATAAAATCATCATTAAACTCAATTAATTCCAATTTTTGTGAGTTAGAATGATTGTCATTCTCAACATTCATGCTTATAAGACTCAATTCTTAAATAAATTAGCTTTAATTATCATGCATTTACATGGAAACTATTTGCATCATGACTTTCAAAATGCTTGGAAGGGCTTAGCTTACAATCCATTGAAGGCAAGATTATAAGGCCAATGCGCTAGGCTTTTCTAGCATTATGTGAGGTTTCAAGTTATAAATCTCTCGCATTCAATTACATTAGATTTAGGTTCCAGGTACTACCCAGCAATATTCCTTACCGTAAATATAAGATTCAAGGCTAATATCTTAAGTTTTAACATCATACTTCCTTTTTTCTAGAACTTTCTAGTATTATCTTGATAAAATATAAGCCCCAAAATATAAATAAATTCATCAACTTAAATACAAATTAAATCATTAAAAAACTAAAGCATAATCTAGAATAAATTTGAGAACTTCTGAGTCTCTTAATTCCAATGTTCCACTGTCAATCCAAGTTTCAATCATATAGTGGATCAACATGAAAGTTGATTTGCCCACCCTAGAAGTCTTTGTAACACCATAAAGTTGACATCTTCTCATCATTAATGAAGGGAAGCTGGAAGTTCTGAAGACGTTGAACCAAAGTCTATTTAGCCTTTCTACTCCAACAATCAGCAATATCATTGGTTCTTTTGCTATTGTGCTTTTTCGAGTCGCCACTACTTTATAAATAGCAATTCAAGTACGCTGACTAGTTGCAAACTTCTTTACATTTTTGGGAGCACTAGGCTTAGTATTTTCTTTCTAACTAGATATTTTCTCAGTAATAGAAACAGTGAAACGCTTAGCAAATATAACAAAAGTTGATGGAACTGGTGGGTCAGCAAGAGAGACTTCATCATAGATCATAGCCACTTCAGTGAAAATCATCCATAGCACATCATCCCTTTTTATTTCTTCTTCAATAAGGGTTCCTCCTCAGAAGGGACGCTCACATCATTATCAAGCTCATAAAAAAACAAGACAACTTGGGATCTTCAGAGGTGACATCAACCACTTTATAATTATTTTGCAAGCATCATTTCACCGATAATATAGAGGAACAAATTTGTAAAAAATTCTAAAAATATAATACACATAAGAAACAGCTAAAATATTTCCCTCTAAAGGCCATCTTCATCATCGACTTAATTCTACATAAGAGAATATAACTCTCTATTCTTCCTATTCATAAATATTTCATACTCATCCACCAAAGAAAAAAATAATGCAAGTTTATTTTTAATAATTACTCAGCCATGTCTTGATTAGTCATCCCTTGGCTCACTTGATATAAAAGTATTTTAACTTCCAATCGTTTGCTTTATTCCCAAGGTCAAATATTCTAACATGTTTGGAAGAAAATAAAACACATCTATCTTTGAAGTCCTTGATAGAGAACATATATGATAAGAAAAAAATTTTCTGCTTACCTCTTTGTTCATAAATGAAGTTGATGAAAGTGAAGACGCTTATAAAAGAATTTGACATTATTAAAGCAAGTATAATGCCATAGAAATTTTGTTATTTCAGCGAGTTAAGTTTCTTAGGTCTAATGCTCCTAATCAAGATTGAAAATTGTGCAATTGGGCACTGAGATATTTTTCATCTATGAGGCAAGGCGTAAGCCTCAAAATAAAAAGAATATTGTGTATAGTGAAAATAAATGTTAAAAATGATTTTTTATATGATAATCAAACTATATGTTAAAGAATCATATATTAATTTTTTACTGAACTATCAAATAACAAATTACCATACATAAGAAACAACAAATTGCACAAGACGTAAAGTAGCAAGTGATAAATTGCATGAAATATAATTAAAATCCAAATAATGCAAGAGCAAAATAATATAAAATATAGGAATTGCAGAAAAATATCATATAATATTAAATTCAACTCTAAATTTCTTCCTTTTCAGTATCGTACTGATCCATATTTAATTACTAAACAGAGCTGAAATAGTTGGCAACAACAAAAAAATCATCACTAAGGAGGTCTTTATTTGAATCATCATCATAACAAATTGGTATCTCCTCTGCCTCATCCTGTGAAGTCCAATGCCTTTAAATTTGCTTCTCATTCATTTATTTCAATTATTTTCCTCTTTCATAAATGTTTGTCATCAACATAAAGATGAGATTAATACTCTAAAAATTTTAGAGGAGGAGGTGGTGGTAGTGTGCGGCTTTCAAGTGATTCCCGGCTGCTGCTATAACGGTGGAGGTTGCGGCAAAGGCGGCGGGTTGGAGGTTGAGGCAATCGAGAGGAAGTTGTTGCAGCTCAGGGGCGTATAAAGACGTGATTTGTTTGGGACTTGACAAGGCAGCTGTAGGGAAGCGATCATGTGACTCATGTCAAAAGCGGCCATTCAACAAGACAGCAGCAGTGTGCATGGGTGTGGGCTCCGAAAATTCGGACCTGGCCTCCCCCGCTACTTTTTCTTCGGGGGAGTTTTAACAGAATTAAGTTCCGGTGTAAATTTTGGAAGGCAGATGGGTTTGCAGATAAAACACTACCCAGAGATTTTACCCCATTTTTTCGAGGACTTTATGATCTGAGTTCTGGTTTCCTATAAGCGCAAGACCCTATAATTAATTACCCCTCCCGATAATGAGAGAGAAATTTTGATTAAGGCAAGTCGTCAATCAGATACATAGAAATACGTGTTATCTGGAATATAGCAGCAGCAACAGGCTTGGGAATTGGAGAGTTTGTAGGTTTGATATTTAAAATTAGAAATTTCCACCATCTTGCACTTAAAGCGGATGGTGGGGGGATGGATGATGGACCTGGTCAAAATTTCATGGTTCCGTCGTCCTGGGCCATCGTGGTCCCTGGTCTACTTAGTTAGAGGAGGTAGTCGACCCAACCTGACAGAAGGAACCTTGTCGGCAGTCATGAGTTGCTTCGTCCAAGGGGACCATATAGACCTGTGGTGGATGTTTGTCTAAGGGGATAAATTTGAATCCACCTTAGCTAACATACTACTTTTTACCCTATCGATTATATCATATTGATTCATATCTCAAGGATTTGATGCCACTAAGGAACGTGTTGGCTCTGGCCATAACCGTTATCTAGTGATGCCATTTGGCTGCAAAATCACTCGGTTCAAAGGGCCCGGGTCATAATCGTTTATCCTATGATGCCATTTGATGGAAAAATCGCTAGCCAGAGGACACGTACAACGTTCTTACTGGCATGAGACTATTTGAGAATAGATCCTAATGATATTTTCGACTAGGCATTTGTCCTATGTGAGTTAAAGTTAATTTTAAATTTGTCCGCCTCAGCAAACTGTTGCGGAGGATGATGAATTTTGCTTTAAGTGTTTTATGATT